GCATACAGAACTTTCTTGTATTGTTTTTGTGAAGAATAAAAAACTAGATTCTGTCTGGACGTTCACCATCAAAAAGGCTACGAACACCTAGAAAACCTATCTGAGTGGATTTCCAATTTTCGTAGCTATTCCGTAGCCGAGGTGTTGAGGTTCTGACCGACTTTCATCGTATTACATGGTTTCCGACCACCTTCGTAGTTGTTGGTTGTTTCTTCCAGGAGAAAAGCATATCTGCCCTGAAAAGGAGGATCACTCTTAAGAGCGTGACTGCTGTAGGAGGAAGTATACTGTTTCCAGAAAGCGATAATTTCGAATCGCATTTCTCATTGAAGGCAGAGCCCGCATTCATTTCATGTTCCCACGCCCTCCTTGAATATCGTAGCCTTTCCGACAAGGATGGAGGATGTACTAATTTCGCAGCTCAAAAATACGAGAGGATGGCGCCACCCGCTTGTGAAGATGTTGCCGCCCCGCCCACCTGGCTGCCACAACGTTCATTTCTAGTAATTGCCTGATGGTGCAGTTGTTCTGCTACTGACGTCTCCCCTTCAAATAGTGAAAATGAGGTGACGGGAAAACAACTGATACCAACAAAAAAGACTTGCGCAACCACACCTTCTATTCGCCGTAGAACTTCAGTTTAGCATAGGGTTCTATACAGGGCATTTCCCATGATTTTTTGCTTTTTTCTTCACTACCGGATCACTTGCTATCTTGTTATTACGATATGACCCGCATAACTTACTGTTTTTGAAAACTATCAGCACGAGGATTGACAGAACGAAAATGAACGCAGAAAATAGCGAGTTTTCTTCAAGCTAAAAATCAGGAAAAGGAGCCTATGGGGTCTCTAGAGTCTTCAAAATCCCTGTTCTATAAAGTTTCATGCTCCGCTTGGAACATATTGACCACAGTCTTGGTTGTCCCCAACGTTCTGACGAACCCGCAGTGGAAGTGGGATACTAGCAAGTGGTGCCGCTTACCAGGCGCACGACGCGAGGTCAAGTCTCTCACCGTGGGCAATGAGGCCTCCCACCTCTCCAGCATCGTGGGTGCTAGAATGGGGCGTAGTTCGCCTTGGTGTGGGCAACAACTGGTACTCAAAGTATGTACATGTCCCCTTGGATAACAAGTAAATTGTTGTCAACAAAGTAGCTCTCTTGAACCTTTCCGCAGCTTCACAAGAGTTCACAGTTCTCAACCGAATCAGACCATATAGTTTACATGAGTTAGCAAATTCAAGAAAGATAGAAAGGGCAAAATGCCCGTCCCAAGCCGAATAGCGCCCCAGACTGGTAGGGAACAATAGGAACACCAACTCATACAAGGAGTGTCCTTCGCATTGCAGATATTTTTACAGGCTGAATCGCAATCAAAGTGTCATTGCGGTACAATCCGTAATGACATCTTGTTCTAAAATTCAAATTTACATGTGGAATTTGAATGCGTGGCGCACCCCGAAAAGGATCGGTCAGCGTAATAACTTATTCCCTTCATGTAAAGAGGTCCGCTGAAAATTTAACCAAGGAAATTTGTGTTTCATTTGGGCAACGATAAGGAGGTTTATTAGTATCGCTGTTTAAAAACAAACCTTACTGCTCCTAACTCGTTCAATGCCTTCCGCATATGTGTCCACAAAAACCGACTGGGACCTTGAAAAAGGCAACATTTTAACAGTAGTGTTGTTCACAAAACAAAGACAGACAAGGAGAAAGTCTAGAAAACGGAGAACACTTGCAAATGATCTCAAAAACTCACACTTGGTTTCTAAGGAACTTGTTGTGCTCATCTTGCATAAAATCCCACATTTTCTTATATAATGGTACTGTTGAATCCTGAATTCGGATGAGTGGCTGCTAAAAGGTGTCGTTGCAGAACAGGAAGGATCCTGTTACCTCGAAAAATGCTGCTGTCGAACCACCTTTGACAACACCATAAAGGATTTTATTTTGGTTGGCAAGATCTTCCACTGATTCTATTGGAGGAGTCATCTTCTCTGAAATTGCTCACTTTTTTTCAGTTCAGTCTTATGATCGCAAGCAATCCGTACCTAAGGTGAGGAATGCAGCAAGATTGGCGGTATATGAAGAAACTATGATGAGCGTGAAAAACCACCATGCAGATGACGCAATACGGCCAGAAAGAGCCCTGCAAAATGGAAACTCGTTCTTACCACTGAATCGCAGAAGTTCAGCGGACAAACTTGGGAAGAATGTCCGTGCCCTGTTGCATGAAAGCGGCAAGAGTGAACCATAGAGAGTTGTACATGGAGAATTCGTTCGATACGGAGAATTCGCCATGATTGAACTGAACTCGCTGCTCGTAGGGAGAAAAGGACGATACAAGAAATATCGTCAGAGATACCTGAATTACGGAAAGATTTTCTCAATTTCAGGGTACTTTTCCTTTGCGTACTGCACTCCCGAGGAGAGCTTCTCCACTGCATGTCTGACATCGGTTTGGAAACTATAAGTTCGAGAAATTCATTCAGTCATCAGGTTGATCAAGGTGTTTCCAGGACTGACCGTTGACTTTACAAAAACCATTCAATCTCAATCAATTGGTCAAAGGTATTTCCAGACTTGACCGTTGACTTTACATTTTACTTGACCCTCTCGAGTTGATGAAGAATGTTTCAGCCGATCGCCCATCGATGAAAAAATTTACCCAGAAGGGTTTGAAGGCACACTTCCTACACATAGTATAGGTGCAAGAAGCCTCGTATGACCAATGGTTCACCAGGACTATATGACAGCGAGAGTTTGTCCTTGTAGACACTCGCCTCCGAGGAGATTCTTCTTCGCATGGGATCAATGGGTCCACAGCTGCAATAACGTGGGGAACGGTTAGGACTCCACGAGAGGTCAGCCTGCCGCCGCGACGCGGCAGTTTTCGCTATGTGCGCGGCGTTTGCATAGTCCATGAGATTTCCAACAGTCTGCTTTATTACTTGCAGGTGTGAAAACTATGAAAGGAGTGGCCCGATGTCCAACTATTAGTATAAAACAACGTCCATTTACGTTGTATATTATATATAAAATAATATTTAGAGAATACATCAGCAATCTAAAAAATTCACTTTAGGGTGAATCCTTCTTTTGCCCTCAATTGTAAGGTATTGTAAGGGCCTAAGATTTGCGGCCAGACGGGAAAAGTAGGTCGTATTAAAGAAATACAGCAATCCGTTGAATAAATACAGCTGCCATTCAAAAATATTGACGTCCCATTGAATATTCTGGTTTGGCAAAATGCCAAGCAGATTTGCGTGATGCCAGAACTATGTGAAGGGACCGGGATCTTAATCGCACGACTGTATGGGTCTCGTCCAATCACGGCAGCAATCGCCGCGCGCGGCGAGGCGAAACATGGCAGCCGTGACCTCTCGTGGAGTCCTAACCTACACCCGCGATAATGTACACTTTCCCCAACGTGAACAGGATTGAGGCTAGAGGGTAGTGACTGAGTACTCTCCCCATAGTCCGCCTGCGCTATCCTCAATGTTCAGCAGTTGTGCAGATACTAAAATGCAGCAGCGAAAC